CAGAATACGGTATATGAATTCTTTTTTTTTACTTGTGAAGTGCAGTAAAATGATGACATTATGAGAACCATTGAAATGTGGATTTTCAACAACAAATTTAATTAAAGATCATTTATAATTGATTGCAAAATGAAAATTTTATTAAAACTAGACATATGATCACGATAATAATTTTAAGATTCATCAGCAACTTAAAAAATAAGGTAATACTTAATTAAAGTATTTATAATTAATAATCGTAAATGTATTTTTAATGTTATAATATTATCAAATATTATATACAGAAAGAAGTAGAAGTTATTGCCATTAATACCTTATGTAGTAGGTGTTGCAGAGAACCAGATTTTGTTATAAAAACTTTACGATCGAATAAAGGTTTTTTTTTTATTAATTATATGATTTTAAATCCAGAAAGTAATAAACTTTTATGTGTTCTTCCAATTTGTTTGTCAAGATTTTTAATGTTATCCTTAAAACAATGTCATTCCTCCTACTGAGTACACGTATATAAAACAAACTTACGTGTTATATTTTACTGTCTTCGTCGAATCCTGTTGATTTTTAACTGGAATAGCAAACAAGTTGGCCCAACTGATGATAAGTAGCATTAGTTGCCCATATACTATATATAAATAACATTTGATATTTGCAGTTAAAAACTTAGATTACCAAGTAATGTAAGTATGGTTTGAAATTACGGGCCAAACGGTCAATTTATAATATTAAAACAAGATATTTCTGTTGCAAATAGAGAAAGAATTGTTAGCAACTGTTTTAGATAATTAGGTCCACTGTTACTATGCATTGAAAATGAGGAAATTGCATCATGTACCTTCATGTAGGTGTATCAATAGTCTTTACAGCAAATTTTATAGCAATACCCCACCGGAGAGATTTATCTCATATAGTACTTTTATGAGCTGCAGCGAAGTTCAAAAATAACATTTTTTCATTCAGTGTAGAGGCAGTAAATATTAGTTTTATACGGCTCTCATTATGAGCGTCGTAAAACATGATTTTATCCGGGCTGTTGTTGGATACCGAGTATTATTCAGGGCACAAACCGTGAAGCCATACGCGTAACAACGGGTTGCTCTGCTAAATGCTAGTTAGGTTACATTGTATCAGTCAGCGCCGGCGCTAGCTGCCCCTTGATTATTTATGCTCATATTGTTGTTATTTTTTTAACAAGTTATTAAAATGACTAATGGTTAAACTTCATCTATAGGCAGAAATATCACCACGAACATCGCAAAAGACCTTAGTAGACTCTATCATTCCTGCAGACTAATTCTTCGTAGTATGTACTCCCTATATACCTAGGTATATGGGGAGTACATGTTTTGTTATGTAACAATCTATATGCGTATTGTTTTAAATTAAATAAATGTTATGTCGTCTGATATTTTCAGTAACAATAAAATTTATAAAAAGATGATAAAATATTATTTTAATTACAATTTAATTGAGACATTAAGTACTGAAATGAAAAAGTTAAGCCAATACCATTCTCTCGTAATATGAATTTGAGTGAACGATTAAGTTCAGAAATATTGGGTCAGATTAGAATATAGTTACACTGTATTTATGTACTCTATCCTTAACTCAGCTTCTGTTCATTATTTATAATGGTGTATTGAGATGATTTCTCGCAAAATATCAGGTATTTTGTTATTAAATACAGAACTAACGGCTAATTGATAACTGACTTAACCGCCATATTTTAAGGACTTTAATAAATAATGAAAATAATTATATTTGAAAGCTATAATGACGAACCATTTAATTATCTTTAGGACATTAAAATTATAAATCTATCCATTGTTTTTGATGTTGCTAATGTACTTAAAAACAAACAAACAACGTAGCATATAAATTAATATTCGTAAAGTATTAAAACAACATCAAATAGTAAATGTACAGATTCTTTAGTTTGCTAACTCGCTTTAAAGTTTTATTAGTAGATAAACCAACTTGTAGATGTTATCTTAAATGTATCAAAGCCGCAAAAGTTAACGTTACACAATATTATCGTGATGCTTTGTACAACAAAATTACTAACACAATCAAACTAGACGTAGAATCGATTGCGACTTCGCAACTGTCTACCAACTGCATTAACTGCATCGAGAGCTAAAATTAATCGCGTACATCCCATCCCTATAAATAGAGAGACTGTCTCGGCAGACATCTCACTACGGCACCAGCTCTATAGTACCGAGTATAACTACAACGTACAAACCGACCTTACTGCAGTACGAATACGGTCGTCTTTGTAGTACGTATTTTATTGTGTTAAACAAATTTGTGCTTTAAAGTAAGTAACGTTAGGTCGATTTTCGTTTGTAGCACTACAGGTCGATATAGGCTGTAAAGTTAGGTCAGAAAATGAAGAGCCATTTATAGTATTCTATCGTACTATCGTAGTATGTTGTATATGTGTGCGTCGTACACGAGGCGCGGTGCATTTGAGTGCAACCGGCGATGTGTGGGTGTGGTCGGTACATGTATTTTATGAATGGAGCTGTTTATATTTGCAGTCTGAGAGCTGAACACGACTTTATTGATTTTCATCGTACGTTAACATTTCAGGGTAGATTTTTTTTTGTATAGGACTAAAGATAGAGTTTTATTTGATTTTAATAATTTGTATAGGGTAATTTTGAAATGTTGTAAATAGTTTTAATGTAAGCATAGTGTTATGAGGAAGAGTTGTTTTTCTTTAATTATCATAATTGTTTTAATTAATGTTTATTTACGGAAGTATCCTATTATTTGTTGAATGGAGATAAATTGATTGCGTTGCAATCATTTGTTAGAATAACTTCTTGTATATTTCTTATAAATACCTTGTAACTTATTGCGAATGTAGGCTGGTATTAGCATAAATATATTTTTTTATTTATTATTATTTACCTTTATGTACGATCCCTTCCGTAGAGGAAAGATAAAGAGTTGATATATCAAGTCATGTTTACTATTGTTTTCATTAATTTTCATAATTCATCTCATCCATGCTCCGATTTCAAAACACTCATGACTCTTCCAACAGACAGTGCACGAATTATCTGATCATAAGAATGTATGCCTTCTTCGATACCATAGAGATTCTTTCCGTTTGGTATTGCGTATGTATTTTGTTAAAATTATATCTATATAATCTTAAATATTATTTCTTTTTCTTCTTTTTTAATATAGTTTGTTTTTTTTTTTGTAATTTATATTGTCTTATAAAATGTGTAAGCGTGTATATCTGTTGATGTAAATAAAAATTAATTTAATTTTACCATCTTTAGTTTTTATTTCTATTGACGGCCTCGGTGGTCTAGCGGTTTAGCAGACCATTCTACTTTCGATGGTCGCGAGTTCAATTCCTCGCACGGTGCAAACATTTGTATTCATAAGTGTGATTGTTTATATCGGTCTGGCTGTATTCTATGTATATTATGTAGGTATATATAACTGACGGATTCTAGCTTATTTACAACAGTCGGCGCACATTTTAGGCATATTATTATTATAAACGTAATTTATACCCGCTGGTGGCGGGCTTTTATTACATCGAGTCTTACGTCTAACTGACGACAACGATGAGACTCTTAATTTTGTGCTCTAGTTTTAACTAGAGCTCTCCAGTCAGGCCGAATGTCTGCTAATCTTTTACACCTTGAGGAATTAATGTCACATTTTACCATGTGGCGTTGAGCACATCTTGTAGCGAAAGAATTTTTTTTTTTTTTCGGACTACTCTAATGCTGTTGGCCGTAGCTGGCCTTTACAGCTTCACCGGACGTTATGGGGCGAGTGCAGATGGCACTCCAAACCCGCGGAAGGACTTATGGAGCGGCTGAAGGCCAACTCCTGCCTGACGGATATGACTTTAGTCTGAGGGCACCACTAGGGGTTCGAACCTCGGCTCAGGCCGTCGTAATTTCGATCCCCGTTTGAATTGGACGGGGGATCGATTGGAGGGGAGCGAAGGAATTGGCCACCTTCATATATATAGGTGTCGGTTATCACTTACCATCAGGTCAGTTAGCTTCTTTGCCATTCCATAATAAAAAATCGTGTTATTCATAGAGGTATATTAAATGTTAGATATCGCACAAAGACCTCCCTAATAGACTCTGTCGTAAAAACTGATATGTATTGTTCGCCGAATGATTCCCGTACGGATTCCATTCCATGCACCAACATGTGTTTCGCGTTCGCCTGTTTGTTTAGGACACCATTGTATTTCCGGTTTCTATATTGTATCCATAGGTTTATGGCCTTCTACCGTGTTTGTAAACTTTAAAATTTTATGTGCTGTTTACTGTGTATTGATAGTTATTACGAAGTATCGAAACGTGATGGCAGAAACCAACACCTACTTAAAATTATTACACGAATCACTATAAAAACGACAAATTGTTGTATTAGCCCCTAAGCTATAATTGTTGATTCATAAAATATTATATTATTTTATTGTATGACTTGTTTACAGTTTTAAGATAACAATGTATTATGGAAATGAATCAATGAACTCGCTAACATAGTACGTGAACTTTTGAAAATAGTAATTTACTTATATTGAAATTAGTAAAAATACGACCTTGATGGTCTAGCTTTATAGCACGCTACCTTATGGTCCAGGGTTCAAACCCCACACGTTAAATCTGTTTGTATTCATGAAATGTTTTTAGGTATCTCCATCAATTGTCTAGTACTTCATTCCTTATTTTGGCATAAGATGTCGCTGTTTGAAATATATATGATTATTAATATTCATTATATAGTTATAACAAACCACTTATAAAAGTTCTATTGTTATTATTTTTTATTAATTTATTGCACCAATTTGAATAGATACAAGTAAAAACAAAAGATTGAAGAAGCAAACTGGCATTCGGCACATCTATCATCTAGTTTATTAATCAGTGAGTTAACAACTCGATTCTAAACTGTATGTTTTTATGAGTAAAAATGATTATTGTTTAACAATACTGTGCTTATTACAGGTACTGGTTCAGAGTCGGCGTCAATACAAACACTTGCAGCAATGGTAAGCATATTTACCAGTAGTCTAAGTGTAGAGTTCATATTTTTTATACTGTAAAACATAGACCAACAATAAGGTATAGACGAAACTCTGTTTAATTGCAAATCAAACGCTACATCGGTACGTGTTGATTTTTTTAGTATTTTGATAAATGGAATAAAGGTCGGGGATTCGCCTCAGGATATTGAATTCAATTATGTCCATATAATTATATGTCAACATTGGACAGTGTACTATATATACAACAATGTTCGTAGCAAAGCGATGAATGGAATTACAATGTTTTGAATTAATTACTTTTTTTCTTATTAATTTGAGAAATATTAGAATATTATTTGTGGCAACATCTTTATAATTTTTATGTAATTAAATGGAAGCTCATAAAAAGACAATCACAGCAAACATACCGTTAAGTGATGTGTAAAATTGTTAATAACCGTGGTGAAAAAAGGTATTATAACACTTTTTGCAGTTTGATTGTCCCAAGCCATGGGCATGATTTTTATATTAGTTTTTTTCGTGTAAATGTAAACTGTGTATTTTTTTATGTATGGTTTGAAGCCTTACTTTATTGAAAGTTGTTAAATGTACTGTCTAGTCTTTTTTGTTGGTCTTTTAGAATCATCTAATATTGTTTAATCTACGTATGTAGCCATTGTGTTACACATTGTCTAAATAATAATGCAAGTATTTAATCAATATTAATATTATTAATATATTTGTCAATGAATAACAGAATAAGTAGTACAATATAGGTCTATTATCTAGTTATTATTATATTTGAAATAATTAATTAATTATTTATTTCTTTATTTACAATATTAATATACTAGATAAATCTTATTAAAGTGTGACATGGTAAAAAAATTCATAGCGATCGAACATAGAACCTCTTCCATTATTTGGTAACCAAATAGGGAGTTGCGTATGCGTAATATTCATAGAAAATATAGTCGAATTGGTATTATGTGGGTGCAATTGTTTTATTGATTTTGGTTGCAAACGGTGTGGTGGACCTTTCGACTAGGTTTAATTGTAACTATTTTTTTTATTATATTATTTATTTCAGGCTACTGACAGCCCATATTATCAATTCCTTATAGACATACATATGTAATTATCATATATAATTATAAATCGTTTCTGCGGTCACGGCACTCACGACTGTAATCTGCCACGGTAACGCTATCGGCGTTACCCACCACCACCACCACCGATTCACCACCCCCTTCGACCAGTAGTCCTTCATGAAGGTGGGCAGCATGTTGGTGGGGACCTGGGCCACAAACGCCTTGAAATTCGCGTGGTGACTCGACTCCAAGTGCGTCACCTTCAATGTCAGGTTATTATTGATCCGTATATAGTCGACAATGTCCTGTTACTTATTAAACATTTAAATACTTTGTTAAGTAGTTTAATAAAAGTACAAGTGTTTGATTAAATTAATTATTCATAAATGTTCTAAAATAAATATGTATATATGGAATATTTATAATATGTGTATTGCAACAAACATTGCATAAACAACATCTGAATACTAGTTTTATAAAACCTAGTTATTATAATTAACTGTAATCCAGATATTACATTTATGTCTGCCACTTCACTTTCGAAAATCTATAATTACATCACTCGTGAAATCTTTCTGACTGTAATCACAAATTTTTTTGCGATACAATTTTAAAGATCATTTAGTTGTCATGTTAACCTATTAAACCGATTACAATTTATTAAAATACTACCTGACACACGCAACTTTGTCTGCGTTTTTGCTACACTTTTCATTCCAATTCCGCTGCTATTGGACGTATATTCACAGAGGTTGTCCCTTTCCGATCGATCCCCCTAATTCGAACAGGGATCCAAATAACGACGGCCTGTGTAGAAGTTTGAACCCATAGCGGTGCCCTCAGACTAAAGACGTATTCGTCAGGCGGGAGTAAGCCTCTAGCCGCTTCATAAGTTTTTCCGCGGGTATGGAGTGCCATCTTCACCGAACTATAGGGGGTCACCTCTATCGTTCGGTGAAGTTGGAAAGACCCGTTGCGACCGACACTATTGGAATAGTTCGGAAAAAAATGAAGGTTAAAATCATGACTTGAAGTCAAGATACTTTTCTAAGATCCTTCGGAGATTCCTGTTCGCCCCGGTACTTAGGTGTACTGGTAGAGAAAATAATTAATGCCCCAGAAATAATTAACATTAATACATAGCAGAAGTGTTGTAAATTATAAATTTCCTATCCTTCAATATGTCGATAGGGATAATTTATTTATCTTCCGATAATACGATAAACGAGGCCACACAGTAGCGTTTGTATTACCTTGAGGCGAATAACTATAAAACTATCTTATCTTTATGGTGGCCGCATGTATAAAGTAAGTAATATGTCGAATTTATGATTTTACTACATATTACTAGGTATTTAAATATTTTTATGACAAGGAAATTTATTGCTTTCAAAGTATTTTTAATTAGGGCACATTATTTGTTGTGTCATCGACTAGCGGAAGGTACTAAACTTGCAAACGGTAAAATAATAATTGCTGTAAAAGAGGGTGGTGCTGTATAGGCGCTACCGGGTAAGATTGCCGTCGTCAGTGCCGTAACCACATATGCGATTTTATATTAGTCTTATAATATTAATTCATATGTATGATAATGTTGGATTAGGAATCCGTACAAAGAATAAATAAAATTAGAGTGGACAGTATTTTTTTAAAAGAAAATAATCAATGGAAAACGATTTCGTACAGAAAGAACGTCTTCCACACTCCGAGCACTCTAAAATAAGTAAAGTAACAGTTTAGTGGCCACACACTCTAGAGCAGTGATTCCCAAAGTGGTCTATATTGACCCCCAGGGGTCTATAACAAACTACAAGGGGTCTACGACAGCGGTCATCTTGTTGTTTTTACTTTATGTTTTTAACACTAAACTTTGCTACAGTTAGAAATTTACAAAAAATCAATAACGGGTAAAAATGGGGGTTCTACCCAAAACCGAAAAATTTGTCAAAGGGTATACGACACAAAAAGTTTGGGAACCTCTGCTCTAGAGTGTATATTTTAATAAAAACAAATATATTATAAAAAATACGTCAATAGTATTCTTGTTTTAAAATAGTTAAAATATGGAGCGTTCTTTTTCTCCAGTTCTTATTTTCATTTGCTTTTTCCTTTAAATTTGAGTTTTAAATGGCCACATGTTTTATTAGTGGCCAGTATTATCAAGCGCTCTTTGCTTCAGTAAATAAGCCTGTAATACAACCTGCTTATACTAAGGAAGTATTCGGAATACGTAACAGATAGTCTATGAGGTATTTATAATATGGGTCATTAGTAGCCTGAAGTAAATAAAATATTACTACCTAAATACTACCTATTAATAACAGTAAACATTTACTTATTTATTTTGTCACCAAGGTAGATTTAGTTTAATTTAGTTCTGAATTGGTAGTTTGTAAGGAGTAGTCTTAATCCTGCTATCTATTTTAGCCGCCAATCAGCTTGCTACAAAGCAAGCTGTGTTTTGGTTAAAGAGTGTCTGTGCTCTTAATTTTTTTTTTGTTAATTTAGTCGTGAAAGAGGTAAACATATTATAACATATTACGCCGACCCCAAATAAATGGGATAAGGAAGAAGCAGATGATGATGAGTTGTGAAAGGGGTAACGAATAGACAGATGGACAGACAGACTTTTGAATTTATAATATTAAGTATGGAAGTTATTTGACAAAGTAATATTGAACGATCAGGGAATATAATTGTATCTGAACCTTCTATGGTAGTTTCATTCAGAAATAGCTCTACTTTGTGTGTTAATAGTTTTTGAAGTACCAATAATTGTTTTTCAAATAAATGGAATATATTTTTTGCTTTCAATGTACAAACTATACTTTATCATTAACTGTCTTTTAATTACACCAATCAATAATTATATAAATGCCAAAGGTAAAAGCCCTTGATGTAAACAATTACACTGCGCGGCATTCTAGCCTTATTCCAACGGTATTATCGACTTTAGTTCTTTATCTTAAAACCTATTCTTTAACGTCGTCTTATCTACTAAGTACGATAAACTAATGTATTAGGTCAAGATATTTATTGCACAATAGTAATAATAATCTTAAGTATTAATGATGTCACGTGTATCTATAGTTACATTTGTGTTTACTACTTGCTGTTATCCACGAGTCCGCGTGGAATTTATAAAAAAATACTAAAATAAATAAGATGTCTAAAATAAAAGTAGCCTATGTTACTTCTTATAATATTAGCTATCTACAAGTGAAAGTCCCGTTAAAATTGGTACACCCATTTCAGAGATTAGGAAGAACAAACAGACAGACAAAATTTGTAGCTGTTATTTTGATGTATAATCAATATTACTGTGAAGGATCATCAAAATGCGATCAGTAGATTTGCGAGAAAGTAACAAACATCCATCGTCACAAACTTTTGCGTTTATAATATTATAATAAGATTTTAAGCTGCAAAGTTATATGATTTGTCTTTATTACCTTTTTAATTTTAATAAGACGAAGTTAGTTTTCATAACAATTAACATAATATGAATGTGCCGCAAGTTAGAAAGATTTTAAGTCCCATTCTTAAAAGACAATTTGCAAATAAAGCAGGTTTAGATTTTTATTACGTATACCTTTAATATTTTTAATAAAACAGTTTTCATAAAAAATCTCATAATATGAATGAAAAGGCAAGAAGCCACAAGTATGAACATCGAACCTATACCGACAACAAGTTAAACAGAGTATTGTTGATCGTACTGTAGTCAAGCGTTGTACAACAGAACTGTTTCTCTCAAGGATCCAGACAGGTTTCGTCCGAGTACAATTTGGCAAGTGGAATGGACAACGTTTATCGTTAATTTCGTACGTGATAGGTCACTGAGTGTAGACCAAGAAATGCGCGTCGTTGTACTGGAAACCGCATTATTTTTTTCAGTGTTTATCAAAATTGGTGTGATCTTATATAACCATA